GGCAGCTTGTCGGGGGGCAGGGCAGCGGAACAGACTCATGTTTATTGATTGTATTTTACAACCCAACATGCTACAGAACGTGCTGTTTACATTTCATTTTCCTCACCTCTTCTCTCTCATTCACCCAGTAAAAGCATACATAAATGTATGTACTGTTATAGAGAAACAGTAGGTGACACCTATTAACGAAGGACTCGAAGACGAGACCAGCACTGTAGATAACACTGTTGTCCTGCACAGTCCTGCCTCCCTTCCTGATGCAGAACAGCATATGAAGATTTCAAAAAGGCAGAATTGCTCCGTATATTCTCATTTTCCACAGTATCCACTTTCTTCACTAGGATACATTAACCCCGCACAGCAACATTTCTTCTGGCATAGCCAGGAGTGTGAGTAAACTAAATCAGAGGGAAATGCCTCCCTTCCTGATGCAGAACAGCATATGAAGATTTCAAAAAGGCAGAATTGCTCCGTATATTCTCATTTTCCACAGTATCCACTTTCTTCACTAGGATACATTAACCCCGCACAGCAACATTTCTTCTGGAATAGCCAGGAGTGTGAGGAAACTAAATCAGAGAAAAAAAAAAAGCTCTCGGAGACCTGATCCTTCCTTAATTGCCTGACAAGCCACACTCAACAAACTGTTCTGACCATTCTTTAGCAGTCTGAATTTCACCCTTCTTTTGGAGAAGCAAAATGCATGTGTATTGTCTGACAAAGAAATGAAACGCAAGAGGGGCACCGGCCCCCGCGCGGAAGCTCATGCAGACGCTCGGCTCATCCAGGCTGCAGGATGAGACCTGGAAGAGCAGAGGTTGCCTTTGGCCAGAACGGGGGATGTGCTGCCGAGGGGTGCATGGAAGAGCACTGTCTGACCGCAGCTCACTGCAGAGGAGCCGCATGCATGTATCACTGCACACAGGTCGGCGAGGGATGCTTTGTACAGTTTGCTCAATAAATGTGAGCGAGGGACTGGTGCCCTCTCCTGGAGTCTGGCAGGGATGACTGGAGCCACCCGACGACTCCAGCACCCATGCCTGGGGGGCCAAGACAGAGAGAGCATCCTTTGTGAAAAGTGCAGAAGGGAAGACTTCTGCTAACACCGTTCAATAAACGGAAAGTGCCATCTGCAGGCCATGACTATCCATCCTTGGTAAGTTCTATGACAGCGCTTCAAGAAAGACGACTATTAGGAGAAATCTGATAGCATTTATAACCATTGGTTTTCCTTTAACTGAGAAACTGGAACACTGATCCTGCCACCAGAAAAACCCCTCCTCGCTGTCTTTGCCAAAGCAAAGGAAGTAATGCGTGAAAAAAACAAATATCAAAGCCCCATCTCCTGGGGGGGGGGGGGAAGCCAGAAAAGAAAATACAAAAAAACCAAACCCACACAACAAAACACTGAAAATAGAGATCAGACAGATCTGGGAACAGCCAGTTTTAAAATTAATTGAATCTTATCAAGCTAATTTGCCTTCAAGAGCTGAGAAGCAATATGACAGTTAGAAAAAAATCAATAGCTAAATAACCACAGAAAGAAAGGACAGCTATGAGCTAGAACCAGTAGTAAGAAGAAACACCTTTTTTAAAGATTTTTCCAAGATGCTTTCCATTCCAGACCCCAGCATGGCACCCAGGCCAAATGTCACAGCGCTGCTATAAAAGTATTTATGGCAATGGAAACAAACACGGCTGTCTTCCTCCTAGCCAAACAGTTCATAATACGCCAGCAAAGAAAGCCTGGGGGGACATGGATTCAGCCACACAATAACTGTCTAAAATACACGGCATGTCAGCTGAACAAGCCTAACAAAGTCTGGATATTCCTCCCAGCAGTCTCTGGCAGTTGGCATTCATTTTTGCTTTGATGAGGTTTTATTTTCCCAGTAAGACTATATAGCTGTAGCATTACAGCAGTGCCAAATATTCAGGCGAAGTTGTAGAGCTAAATTTCTATTCCTTCTCTTTCATCAAAGCACGCAAATTCATGACTGAGCAGCCTGAGCAATCTTTAAGGTCCTGTACTGCCTTGCAGGGCATGGAAGGCTGATTAGGAAAGCCAGGCAAAGGAGTTGACTGGGCTTAGTCAGTGATGTTGGTAGGAATGACCGATGCATAATTGCAAAACGCTCTCGCACAGCAATACATTTATAAATCTTTGACCATAGTTTGCACAGGTTCGGCTCCTCTGAGGAGGTTGCACAGACCTACTCACGTTTGAAACAGATGTAGAAGTAATATTTAAACCTGCTTTGTAATTCTGTCGATGCATAAGGATGAAGAACCTCCGTGCCAGATGTGTGCTGGCTGCGCAGGGCTAACTGATTCAAGAGCTCTGGCACGCGTGCAAGCCATGTAATTCCCAGTAAACATCTGAGAGCGTTTACAGCACCTCTTCGCAAAGAGAACTGCACTACAGTGTCAAACACTATTTTTTGAAACCTGCTGCCCTTCATAACGGGTTTAGGAACTTCCAGAATTCCCAAAATTAAGCCTGGCCAGTAACCAGCCAGGTTAGAGAGGACAGAGGAAAAGGGACCAGCATCTTCTCGTGCCACCTTGTGGTGGCCACTGCAGATGGAAAGAGTGTTTTTGCCACAGCCCTGTCGCCAGCATACAGACTCCTGGGCTCAAGAGCGCTGTGCTGGCTGCTGTAAGTATGCAAATATTCACAGTAAATTGCGGAGAAGAATCACCATCTAACCACCTACCAGTTAAAATCTGAAAAGTAAAAAAGAAAGGTGAAGAACAGCAGAGCCAGGGAGCCAAAACTATTCATAAATTTGAGACAAATTTGTTTTCCTGATTGAAACGATGAAATACTGCAAGGTTCATTTTAACATTTCTGAAACCAAGCGCTCTGATTTTAAGAGCCAGACTGCAAACACAGACATTGTTAACAAAATGGAGGAGAAAGGGCTACACTGCTGCCCTTTTATATGCTTCATACTAGCTTCTTGCCCGCATTCTCCCAGCTAAAATCTTCCCTCTGCCCAATTCAGAACAGGCTTTATCCCGAGCCTCTCATTGCTCTGCACAGGGCTCAAACTTTGGGTTACAAAATATGCTGGGATGACTGGTTTTCTATCAAATCTGCTCTGCTGTGCAAAAATATTCACTGGAAGGTGGCCTGGAATCCAAAGTTATCACCACTGACTCACTAACCAAACAGCAAAATAAAACCAGCTTTGGGTTGGACTGAAACAAAATTTCCCTTTCATTTTTCAGAGCTGACCTGAATTTAAAAAAAAAAAAAAAAAAAAAAAAAAAGGTAGTTTTAAAACAGTGACTTGCACAGCTGCAGAAATAAAAACATTTCTCTATCGCAAACCATTTAGGGTCAAAGTAGACAGAAGGACAAAGCATGCAAAGGAAACCAGGTGAGGGAGGCAAAGCAACGCGATCAAACAACTGACAGTTATGATTAAGACTTACTTGTCCAGTGCCACAGCTTGCTCATAGGAACGTTTTGCGTTCTCGATGTCTTCAAGGTTTGTCAGAGCAACTGTACCAAAGCAAAATGTACACACCCAAGCTGGTGCTTCACAAGGACTTCATTTTTAGGACAATTCTAAATGTCATCCCATCGTAAAATAAATAGGTGCTAGCAGGGTTGTCTGGACTGCTGCCAGGATTAACTCTACTAATGTCACTTCTGACAAATATTTGTCTCGCTTGATCCAAAAAATGTCCACTGCTGGAAATCCACACCCACTCCTTAGGCAGCCCAAACCTAAACTCTTACACGTAGAAAGTCTTTTCTAATGTTTAACCGGGATCTGACTGCAATTTAACCTTCCTATTCACCACAGAGAGAGAACAGACTCTTCAGACTTTATACCTGTCAGTGACCTACTACTGGGGAACAGCTTCTTAGCACAGCCTTTATCCAATATTTGTTTACTTCAGCCCAAACTGTCTGTCTCTATAACGTTGCATCCCCTAGGCTGGATATCCACTGAAGCTGGATAACGGAGCGCTGCATACCTGCAAGGAGCATATACAGCTCTCCCATCTTGGGCTGGAAGTTGATGGCAGCGCTGAGGAAGTGGAAAGCAGATGCGTACTGCTGCATCGTGAGGTGGACTAACCCCAAATTGTACAAGATCTTCCAGTCAAAGGGAGCCAAGTAGTTTGCCCGCTTCAGGCAGCTGATAGCCTTCAAAAAAGGAATGAATGTGCTGTAACACAGCCCACCCAGAACAGACCTCCTGTCTCTGCCACAGGAGGAATCTTGTTCTTGCATGGTCAGCTACAGATGAAAAAAGAAAAGAAACCGGATACTTACTGCTACATATTTCTTCTTCCCAAAGAAGCACATCCCAATGTTGTTCCACAGCGGGGGGCTTTCAGGCACAGTGCTGGCTACCAGCCTGTATTTGGAGAGGGCAACGTCAAAATCTCCATGGGCCTGCATCATGCTGCCAGCCGCCAAGGTAGCCTTTGAGAGAAGACAAGAGTGATCAGCTGAGGAACTGCGTTTTCCCAAATATAGCAAGAAGACAACAGGAAAAAAATAATAAACTGAAGCCATCTCAAGAGCAACCATTTAACTGTTTCAGGTGTTTTCTTCTAGGCCAAGACCAACAGTGGGGAGCAGATGGGGACTCTAGAATCTCCCAACATACAGCAGAAGACAGGGTAAAGAAGGGACTTGAGTCCGCTTCTTCCTGCACCACCTCGATCATAACTGTCTTGGAAATACTGCAACGTGACAAGTGTTTAGGGTATGTTTTGGAATGACAGTAGTATCTTCTAGAGCCTGAGTCTCTGAGGAGGTCTATGCACTAACAGTTTCTTTTTACCAACAAGCACAGATAGAAATAGTTGTGGTGCAAGCTAACCGGAGAGTAAAACATACGCAAGCAAGACTTATGCAGCAAAGCTAGCCTAGTTCACACTGACTGCTTGATACTGCAAATTAATGGAAATATGCATGGGGAAAAAAAAGCGAGTGATTGCAACACACTATATTTAAACCACACTAGTTAAGCCTTTTACAATATTTCACAGTGACAAGTAAAATTTGTAAGTGTAAAGGTGTTTTCACAATAACATTTGGCTTGCATTCATATATCATTTGTCAACCCCACATTTCAATACTCTACGTCGTTAACATCGTACAGAAGGAAGAAGAGGCAGAGAGAAACGAAGTAACATGGCTAAAAAGGGAAGCGGTTTCAGAGTCAGGAATGAAACCTAGATGCCAAGCTAGGCCTTCCAGACCAGAGCCAAGGAAAAGTCACATTTGTATACAATAGTTGGAAGCACAGAGTTATTAGCAGATGGGAGAATAATACAATGGAATATCACTTGTATCTGTGCTCCGTGCCTAGGAGTCACAGGGACCAAGGAACAACAGCTCTTGAGATTTTTGAAACAATGTCTAGAACATTTTCCTTGCAAAGTAAATTCCATTTGTTTTAATTTGTTTGCGACTTCAGATTAAAAACCAAAGGGATCAATTTAACATCCCGTGTTCTACCTCCTCCCCTTTAAAAAAACACATCCAACTCCCCACCCAGGGAAAGGTCCCAGAAATGTATTTCGGAGAAAGCTTTCTGGGCATGATCCTTTTCAACCTCTCCAGGCTAAGACCCTGGATATAGATGGCAAAGCTCTGCTACTGGAATTAGCTTTAAGAGGTGTCTCATCATCATTCAGCTGGTTCATTTCCACTCGTCACGATACCTTGTAGTTGCCTGGGTCGTAAGTAAGCGCATTTCCAAGGTGTTCAAAAGCCTTCTGGTAATCCCCAAGCTGGGAAAAGAAGCGAATAAGCATCAGAAATTGAGGAATAAGGGGGGTTAAGAAGGAGAACGCATGCTTTTGGGGCACTAGAATTTCTGGTTCAGTTAAAACAAATATTCAGAAAAGTGAATTTTACAGTCCTCCCATTACATACATGTTCTTGTTTGATAATTTACACAGCAGATTCTAAAAATTTATTTTGCTGGGCTGGATTCACTGTTCTGACCCAAACAACGTTTTCCATATAGTTTCTGCTCTGACTTTTCTATACAGGAACGAGCTCCGGGTTGATACTCCTCTGCTCCTTCCTCTCTTCCAGAAAAGAGGCTACAAATTGCCACTCTGCACACCCTCGATTCCCTCACCAAAACTTCCTCACTCCCCAGGGCACTCTTTTCATGGGAAAAAGTCTCCCCTTGTCTTCTAATGGACTGCAAGTGTTAGGGGGCATGACTGTGTCCATATATAAGCACAACTGCTTAGAATCCCTTAAATCCTTTGTTTTCAACTGAGTTACGCCAGAATTGTACCAGTCCAAACAGGATAAAATTCTGGACACTGGTGTCCTTTTTTGGTCACAAAAATTGATGAGAAGCCCATCTGTCACTCCAGCAATTATACCGATGCATCAGACTCCAGCGTCTTCTGTAATTAATAGCAAGTGGGAAACCTGTAGAAGCATCTTTAAAGCTCCTGAAGGCGAGTACGGATCTAGAGACGTGACAAACTGAACAAATGAATCACAGCACAGACACCTGGGGGCTAAATTCATAGGGCGAATGTTATACTCACACTACTTCTATCTTACAGATCCCCCTTCCCAGGTCATGCTCCCTTCTAAATCCACACTTACCCACTTAAGACATCCAAGGCTCCTATTGAATTTCCCTATCTCTAGAGCAAGGCGATTTTCTTCCAAGATCTACATTTTATTCTCGAGCATCTGAACAATTAGGGAAATGCTTAAGGATCTTTCCGAATCAGCACTCCGTGCAGGTTTTCTAGCCCATCAATCCTTTCAGGCACTACTGCCTATTCTTCTTTGCTTGTTCACTCTTTGGGAAGCTTACTTTTGGAATAATCAGATGGTCCTTCCCATACATTTTACAGACCCAAGTGATAAGCATGCCTTTGTTATTTAAATCGATTCCGATTTTCTTCTATGGTGCATTAACACTAACAATTTCATGGCTGCTTTTGTAGGAGAATAACAGAATCCTGCTCCAGAAGCAAGGTAATGACTAGTCATGTTTTGTTGTACTTGGAGGATTTATAAAAGAATTAGGGCAGTTGCCAAACAGAATTCCTGCTCTGGCTCAGGTCCAGGAAATCAACTTGCTTTTAGCAGCAAAAGGAAAAAAGAAGATACGGAAAAGCAAGCTCTGTCACGTTGAATGCAGTCTTTAGAGAAACGCGTGCAAGTCATAGGAAGGTGGATAGAAATTAACTCTATAAAAAAAACAAACCTTGGTCATTTTGAAAATAATTAAGGTCATGTAATAGCTAACAGTCTTCAGTACCTGCAAGTAAAGTAACCCCAGTGTTGTAAGGAGGTCTGTGTTTTCTGGAGAAAACCTGTAATACAAAAGCCAGAGAGCTGCGTTGTTTGTTAGCCCCTCTAGAACAAGGTAAAAACAGAACATGGAATTACGATGCTACATTATACTACTATCACTCCAGGAAATTAACTGTTATTATTAAATGCAAATATTAGAACAATTGCCATCATGGGGGCTTCCTTTGAACAATATTACACCTAAGCTTTCAAAATGTCTGCTAGATATAAATGAGAAGTCAACATAGCTCAGTGAAATAGATCTGGATGCATAATAAAATAATGTGGTTTTGTTAAGCTTCAAAGTGAGTCTGCATCAGTGACCTGGAAATAGAAAATGGGCTTTTCCATCGTCTCCGTAAACCACTCTGTAAATCCATCCCAAGCCTCTTGGGCCATGTAGGACAGGCAATCCTCAGCATTTCTGACGGATCCTACACACACTCGTCATCAGACTTTTAATTCACTCTATAAAAAGATTACAAACCTGGTTTCACAGACCAGCTGTGGACTGCTCACCACGGCTTTGTGCTACACTGCAACCCACAGACCAGAGTGCTCAGACAGGCACTACCTGTTAATGTATCCCTGGCTCCATTCAGCACAGAGAAGCTTGAAAAAATACGTCCCAAGGGCTTTCAATTACTGTATGCAACTCTCAAACCTTCACTGCCGGTCTGGGGTTCACACAGCAATGCTGTGAACCCTTTTAAAAGCACCCCCATTCCCAGCAGCTTTTGAAGAAACAAATAGGATGAAAATAACAAAAAAAGAAAGAGCAGAAAGAGACACTGCATTTGTGGCCTCACTCACCTTGATAGCAGAAGTCCCTGCTATCAAGACTTAAGAAATCTAGTATGTACAATCACATAGGCGCCTTTAAATCTCAACCAGAACAAAGCCGCCTGTGCCTGGTGGTATATAAACACAGAGCAACGACAGACTATCCTGGAGCTGGGAACAGCAGGCAAAATGTAACAGGCGGAGGAGAATAAAAAAATGAAAGAAAAAAAAAACAGGAGTGAGGAAGAAGGGAGGGCAGGGGAGCAGCGCGATAAGATATATAAACCTGGTAAGATGCTTAGCAAGGATTATGTATGTAATAAACATTCTAGATTAGTCCAAATGTCTACCCAACACAATATACTGTCAGACAGCAGCCAAAAGCAGACGTGTAAGGAAACGGTATGTGAAAAGAGCTGGTACAAAATGTAGATCCTCCAGTGGCTTCCGACACGCTCCTGCTTTTCTTTAGTGCTTGCCTCCATTACAAAACCACATTTTAAAAGCATTGGTACATCAGATGCTCA